TTATTTTCGTCTATGTATAAAAAAGAGATGTGGTATGATTGCCAATGACACAACTCCCCACAATGTTTGTTTTCTTTAAAGTGAAATGAAATGTGAACTATTTCTCATGGATATGTTATATTAACCGGTAAAAATGTTTAAGAGTTTTCAAACAATTTGCTTAGTGGCAAAAAGTACGATATAAACAAATATGTTTCAAAAAGATGAGCAAGAGGAGTACTGAGATAAACGTCAATGTGACAGCTACCTAACAATGATTAAATTAATATTCTATTATTCAACTGCACTCTGCTCACTGTCACTTTCGTCCATGGTATGTTGGATAAATGCTGCATCTTCAAGAGAAGCTCCTCACTTCTGGACTCCATGTGTGATGTCCAGATTATGTCTTGTATACCCTAGATACCAGAGTCTAGAGGCAATGTGTGAAAATTAACATTTTCTCGTCTGGAATATGCATCTAACTTGCCGCTGGACGTTTAACAGTCATCCATCATCACGAGACAAACAACTCTTGTAGTAAAATGGTGTGTTTCTTTGATATTCAATATTCTTTTTTTTTTCTTTTTCACCAAAAAGTGAATTAATAGACGCGTAAATATCTTCTCAAAAGATTTTAAAATCTTTAATCATTTATCTAATTATAATTAAAGTCTACTGTTCTTTAGAGGAGATATGATTGATAGTTGTTTGACGAACGTCCATGGAAAATACTTCATGCATATTTATGACGGAGAGCAGTTTAGAGAATCTATTTCAAACAGGAAACAAGAAATTGCATGTGTTGTCATTGAACATAAGAGAAAATTCTCCAAAAGGGGGAAGGAAAAGGGAGGGAAATAAAGAATCACATGACCAATTAAATAATACAACACCATGAACATATAGTGGCGCCAAAAAAAACAGCAATAAAAATATAAAAAACAGGTAACTACAGATTGAACACGAACCTCTGGCCATCACAAGAAACGAAAAAATCAGAAATATAAAGATATCTCATAGATAGTTTATTCATAGTAGGCAGCCATTTTTGTTGGTCGCTTGTAACATAGTCTCACTCAAATTTAAAAGAGACCACCAAAAAGAGACCAAATAAACAATTGCTCCTTGTATGCATTCTGACCAATTATGCACGCTATCACGCGTGAATATCACATATTTATTTGAAGTTACCCAAGCGATATGATTGTGTCGGATAGTTTTGTTTCATCTTTATTTCAGTTTTCATTGAAAACAAATATTTGTTCTAGATGAATGTCACGGACAGTATACACTATGCCCTCTCATGGCGTCGTAATTTTTATTCTAATTAAAGAAATATTTAAAAGCTTAGTTAACCACTGTGCAATATGATATCAAAATTCTCACGTGGTTTCTTCTTATGTTCTACGATTTTCTATGTATGTTTGTTCATATTTCTGTAATTTATTTACACCATCCGTAGTAATTATTTAAAATGTTAACTTGGCATGCCATACATGATAGAAAATACGGACGTGAAAGAATTAAAGCACTTCACCAAAGCGTCAACATGAGATTACATCCGCGGAAGTTACATTTCGACGATTTCGTGTTTAAAAAACAATATACGTGTTTCAAAGAGGAAATTTGAAATAGATTTTTTATGTTGACACCCATATCGATCTCTTGGATATAGAGTTTTACGGAAAAAACTACGGCTCTAATATTAAAACTGTCATATTTGTGTTTGCATAGCACAGACCAGGGTAATTATTACAAAATAACGTGGAAATGATCTTTAAAATAATTTGCAAGTTCGTAATTTTTATTTCCACCAATTTAATTGTCTTATTTTCTAATAAAAACAGTTATGAGGACGAATCTATCCGTGTTTAAAAACCTCGCCGGATCGGCGGTTAACGAAGCTAAAAACAAAGACATGTTATTCCATTTTCTTCTTTTTTGTTTGTTTTAAATAAGAAAATAATAAATTATAGAATTTATTCTATTTATAGCAATTGTACAAGTTCTTGGTACAGTTATTTTCCGTCACAGAATCTATCGTACTTCGTAAATGGCGGCGTTGAATCAGGATTTGCTTGTTTCTAATGTTAGCAAAAGTTAAATTTTCGATGTGGCCACAGGCCTCGACCACGCTAAATATTGTTGCAAACTGAGTCAATGTGTCAAACAATCAAAATAAGAGTAAACTTACTTTGGTCGAGGCCTGTGGCCAATACGAAATTTAACCAGGAAGTGTGAATTTCTTTAAGAATTTGGACATTTTGAGCGTTCCAGTTTTATTCCGGGTATTACGTCACATTAATGACGTCACAAAAATATGATTTTATACTATAATAACAAATAACGATATACGTAGATATGTTTAGCTATAAAGGATCCACCTTATTTCTCTTTTATTTTTTATCACCTCACAGGGCCAGTATCGGCACTTCGTGGCCATACTCCTTTTGTAAATTTTTGTAAATTTTTACAAAATATTTCCCACTGTAACTACTGGGCCAAGTTCATTATAGATAGAGATAATTGTAAGCAGCAAGAATGTTCAGTAAAGTAAGATCTACAAACACATCACCATCACCAAAACACAATTTTGTCATGAATCCATCTGTGTCCTTTGTTTAATATGCACATATACCAAGTGAGCGACACAGGCTCTTTAGAGCCTCTAGTTGAAAATCAAAAAAAAAAAAAAAAAAAAAAAATGTTATTTGGATGCAGATATTTCTGGTTCCTTATCTTGGCCTCATTAATTATTAATAGTATATAAAATTTGGAGCTTGTACTAATTTAAAGCCTGAGACATGAATTATTAAATTATGATATATCCATAATTTTTATAGTATCTTTTTATTCATTTTTTCTTTGATCTTACTGCCAAATATTTGTGAAGATTATGGACAGGACTTGACACTCGAAAATATCAGGCAATGATGCCACGTATCTGTGCAGCAATGTCATGTGTTTCTGTCCATTCACACCAATTTATAAATGAAATGCATGCGACTTCATTCATACAAATGAACAATCACAAAGTTTTGTATGCATAAAAGAAGTTATACTAACTAATTCAAATTATTTCATATGTCCAACCAAAAATCATTTTTTCAAGACAAGATGTTTAAAGTTATAATTGCATTCTTTACAGTAGACATCTCAATGTTAATTATTTGTAACCTAGCTCTTTACAGTATATTGATAATCCCCTCAATTCTTTGTAACCTCCTAACAGTATATTGATAGTCCCTCAATTCTTTGTAACCTCCTAACAGTATATTGATAATCCCCTCAATTCTTTGTAACCTCCTAACAGTATATTGATAATCCCTCAATTCTTTGTAACCTCCTAACAGTATATTTATAGTCCCCTCAATTCTTTGTAACCTCCTAACAGAATATTGATAATCCCCTCAATTCTTTGTAACCTCCTAACAGTATATTGATAATACCCTCATTTCGTTGTAACCTCCTAACATTATATTGATAATCCCTCAATTCTTTGTAACCTCCTAACAGTATATTGATTATCCCCTCAATTCTTTGTAACCTCCTTACAGTATATTGATAAACCCCTCAGTTCTTTGTAACCTCCTTACAGTATATTGATAATCCCCTCAATTCTTTGTAACCTCCTTACAGTATATTGATAATCCCCTCAATTCTTTGTAACCTCCTAACAGTATATTTATAGTCCCCTCAATTCTTTGTAACCTCCTCACAGTATATTGATAATCCCCTCAATTCTTTGTAACCTCCTAACAGTATATTGATAATCCCCTCATTTCGTTGTAACCTCCTAACATTATATTGATAATCCCTCAATTCTTTGTAACCTCTTAACAGTATATTGATTATCCCCTCAATTCTTTGTAACCTCCTTACAGTATATTGATAAACCCCTCAGTTCTTTGTAACCTCCTTACAGTATATTGATAATCCCCTCAATTCTTTGTAACCTCCTTACAGTATATTGATAATCCCCTCAATTCTGTGTAACCTCCTAACAGTATATTGATAGTCCCCTCAATTCTTTGTAACCTCCTCACAGTATATTGATAATCCCCTCAATTCTTTGTAACCTCCTAACAGTATATTGATAATCCCCTTAATTCTTTGTAACCTCCTTACAGTATATTGATAATCCACTCAATTCTTTGTAACCTCTAACAGTATATTGATAATCCCCTTAATTCTTTGTAACCTCCTTACAGTATATTGATAATCCACTCAATTCTTTGTAACCTCCTAACAGTATATTGATAGTCTCCTCAATTCTTTGTAACCTCCTAAAAGTATATTGATAATCCCCTTAATTCTTTGTGACCTCCTTACAGTATATTGATAATCCACTCAAATCTGTGTAACCTCCTAACAGTATATTGATAGTCCCCTCAATTCTTTGTAACCTCCTAACAGTATATTGATAATACCCTCAGTTCTTTGTAACCTCCTAACAGTATTTTAATAATCCCCTCAATTCTTTGTAACCTCCTAACAGTATATTGATAATCCACTCAATTCTTTGTAACCTCCTTACAGTATATTGATAATCCCCTCAATTCTTTGAAACCTCCTAACATTATATTGATAATCCCCTCAACTCTTTGTAACCTCCTTACAGTATATTGATAATCCCCTCAATTCCTTGTAACCTCCTAACAGTATATTGATAATCCCCTCAATTCTTTGTAACCTCCTAACAGTATATTGATAATCCCCTCAATTCTTTGTAACCTCCTAGCAGTATATTGATAATCCCCTCAATTCGTTGTAACCTCCTAACAGTATATTGATAATCCCTCAATTCTTTGTAACCTCCTAACAGTATATTGATAATCCCCTCAATTCTTTGTAACCTCCTAACAGTATATTGATAGTCCCCTCAATTCTTTGTAACCTCCTTACAGTATATTGATAATCCACTCAATTCTGTGTAACCTCCTAACAGTATATTGATAGTTCCCTCAACTCTTTGTAACCTCCTAACAGTGTATTGATAATCCCCTTAATTATTTCAGCTGGTAGTTGGTGCCTTTCTTTCCAGTACCATATGAAGGGGAGCAGCATTGGGAAATTAGAAGTATATGCTGGGGATAAATCATCTTCTCTGACAAGTATCTGGCAAAAAACAGGAGAGCAACCTGATCCGGACCTGTGGAAAACTGCTACTTTAGACATACCATCATATAGTAATCCTGTTGTAAGTATTATGTAACAATAGAAAACTGGCATATAAACTAAAATTTCTGTTTATATCTCAATTATCGGACACATTTACTCACCTCACATGATATCTATAGTTGAGTAAGGTATAATGGCATATATACTGTAAATTCTGAAACTCTTGCATGCATTTTATTATTAGAGGAAATAATGGACAAAAATATGAGAATTCAATACTTCAATATCTGAAAATGTTTCATACAAAATGCTTTTAAACTGTAAATGCCAGTTTTTATTTTTGCAAAAGCAATTAATCCCTCTATAATTTTCTCAATGATAAAAACATCCAAAAATTTCTGATTTCACAGTATTTATTTCCTAAATTATATTTTGATTTTAATATTTAATATTAAATTCATATTTATTAAAAAAATGTTTTGATGTAGATCTGCACTCATGAGTAATATATGCAAATCTTATATTTATGGGGGAAAAAATCATAAATAACTCTTGAAAATAAATCTTGCAAAAGAACTTTAAGTATAATTAGTATTTTAACATAAAATGAAAAATAGACAGTTTTAAAAGAAATTCTTTAAGGCCAAAAATGTCACTGCAGTTTTAGTTTGCATAGCAACACTATTTCCAATATTTGTCTTTTTTTCTCTTCAGATCACCATAGAAGGGGTCAGAGGTAGTTCATATAGAGGTGACATTGCTATTGATGATATCGCCCTCAATGTTGGTACATGTGCTAGTAAGTATAAGTTCTTTCTTTTCATCATTATAAATATTCCTGAGCTATTTGCCGCTGAATTTTAGCTTACAATTGTCAATAAAACTTTTTTGAAAGAAGTAGGTTTGTTAAAGGCCCTATTGTGACACCTTTTTCTGGCTTATATTTAAAATTAAGATTTATTGCCCTACATTTTCATTGTATAATTTAAAAGAATCTTTATCATAATTATTGACATAATCTCACCAAATATAAAGTTTATTTTTGGGTGGTACACACATTCTTTTCCAATTTAATTTATACTTACAAGTTGATGTAACACCAAGAAAATCAAGAAATTTAACAAAATGTACAAATTTTGTCATCGTAAATTGTCATATGTGAAAAATGTTTATCTTCAGAACACCTTGTACCTTTGTAGTTATAAAAAAAAACTTAAGAGTATGTATTGTAAAGTTTCAATTTTGGACAAAATCAGGGCCTTATTGCCTCTTCTTCTTTTTCTTTCTTCCTAGAGAAATTGTATAAAACTCTTTTTCCTCTTTTTTAGGTGCCGGAAAGTAAACAGAAAACAGAATAACCCTACAATCACGACTTTATGATGGTGTGATATTTACACTTATAATGATCATGTGATATTTATTAACTTGTTCATTATAATGATCATGTGATATCTAGTAACTTGTTCATTATAATGATCATGTGATATTCAGTTACTTGTTTATTATTATGATCATGTGATATTCAGTTACTTGTTCATTATAATGATCATGTGATATTCAGTTACTTGTACCATATCTGTGTCAGCAGTTTTTAAATATAATAAAAAAATGTTTAAATGCAATTGATTTTTATGAGTTCACCTTCCCAAAGGGGCCGGTGTGACCTTTGCCATCACTTGGCGTCCATCATCTCTTAAAGAGGGGGAAAGATACCAAATGAACATTTAAAATCATTTAAACGGACAACGCTATGGCCAAAAAAAAAAGGATCTTGAACCTAACAACAGTATACAAAACACAACATAGAAAACTAATTGAAAGACTGCACAACACGTATACCACCAAAAGTCAGGTGTGATCTCAGGTGCTACGGAATGATTAGCAGATCTTATCAACATGGGGCATGTTTGGGAGCTACCATTTGATTTATAGGGGGGGTTGGGGGTGGGCTAGTATGAAAATTTTGTCCTGCATTTGTTTTGAGTTGTAAATTCTATCCTGCCTTTTTATTTTTCACTCTATTCGGTCCTGCCTTTGTTTTTATTAGTTTATCCTGACTTTTTCTATATAAATTGTCATCCTGCCTTTTTCTTTTTTTTTTGCAAAGTGTCTCATCCTGCTTTTTTTTTGCAAAGTGTCTCATCCTGCTTTTTTTTTGCAAAGTGTCTCATCCTGCCTTATTTTTTTGGCAAAGTGTCTCATCATTTTTTTTGAATTTTTTTTTTTTGGCAAAGTGTCTCATCCGGCCTTCTTTTTTACTTGAAACTCCTGTTCTGTCTTTTTTTTTCAAATTAAATCTAGCCCCACCATAAAAATCAAATGTTAGCCCCTTAGTCATGTGATAACAAACTCAGAAATAAGTTATTCGGTTAAACAGAGGTCACATCTTGGGAAAAGAGGATTGGTTCATTGTTATAACAATTGGAACATAACTGTTGTCGTCTGTGAAACAGATATAACATAATGATCAACCAACTGATGGTCGTGAAACAAATATTACATAACTATCAACTGATGGTCTTTTCCTTAAACATTTCTGTTGTCGTCAACCAACTGATGGTCGTTTCCCTAAAATTTTCAAAGGTATGATTTCAATTCACCACTTAGAAGTCTTTGGTTAAAAGCTTTCCTTGTGAGAAGCAGACATCTTGGGTTAAAAGCTTTCCTTGTGAGAAGCAGAACTCTTGGGGTTAAAAGTTTTCCTAGTGAGATGCAGAAGTCTTGGGTTAAAAGCTTTTCTTGTGAGAAGCAGAAGTCTTGGGGTTAAAAGAAGCAGAAATCTTGGGTTAAAAGCTTTCCTCTTGAGAAGCAGAAGTCTTGGGTTAAAAGCTTTCCTCTTGAGAAGCAGAAGTCTAGGGTTAAAAGCTTTCCTCTTGAGAAGCAGAAGTCTAGGGTTAAAAGCTTTCCTCTTGAGAAGCAGAAGTCTAGGGTTAAAAGCTTTCCTCTTGAGAAGCAGAAGTCTTGGGTTAAGAGCTTTCCTTGTGAGAAGCAGAAGTCTTTGGTTAAAAGCTTTCCACTTGAGAAGCAGAAATCTTGGGTTAAAAGCTTTCCTCGTGAGAAGCAGAAGTCTTGGGTTAAGAGCTTTCCTTGTGAGAAGCAGAAGTCTTGGGTTAAAAGCTTTCCTCTTGAGAGAAGCAGAAGTCTTGGGTTAAGAGCTTTCCTTGTGAGAAGCAGAAGTCCTGGGTTAAAAGCTTTCCTCTTGAGAAGCAGACGTCTTGGGTTAAGAGCTTTCCTTGTGAGAAGCAGAAGTCGGGTTAAAAGCTTTTCTTGTGAGAAGCAGAAATCTTGGGTTAAAAGCTTTCCTTGTAAGAAGCAGAAATCGTAGGTTAAAAGCTTTCCTTGTAAGAAGCAGAAATCTTGGGTTAAAAGCTTTCCTTGTGAGAAGCAGAAGTCTTGGGTTAAATGCTTTCCTTGTGAGAAGCAGAAGTCTTGGGTTAAGAGCTTTCCTTGTGAGAAGCAGAAGTCCTGGGTTAAAAGCTTTCCTTGTGAGAAGCAGAAGCCATGGGTTAAGAGCTTTCCTTGTGAGAAGCAGAAGTCTTGGGTTAAATGCTTTCCTTGTGAGAAGCAGAAGTCTTGGGTTAAGAGCTTTCCTTGTGAGAAGCAGAAGTCTTGGGTTAAAAGCTTTCACTGTGAGAAGCATAAGTCTTGGGTTAAAAGCTTTCCTTGTGAGAAGCATAAGTCTTGGGTTAAAAGCTTTCCTTGTGAGAAGCAGAAGTCTTGGGTTAAAAGCTTTCCTTGTGAGAAGCATAAGTCTTGGGTTAAAAGCTTTCCTTGTGAGAAGCAGAAGTCTTGGGTTAAATGCTTTCCTCGTGAGATTCAGAAGTCTTGGGTTAAGAGCTTTCCTTGTGAGAAGCAGAAGTCTAGGGTTAAAAGCTTTCCTTGTGAGAATCAGAAGTCTTGGGTTAAAAGCTTTCCTTGTGAGAAGCAGAAGTCTTGGGTTAAATGCTTTACTCGTGAGAAGCAGAAGTCTTGGGTTAAGAGCTTTCCTTGTGAGAAGCAGAAGTCTAGGGTTAAAAGCTTTCCTTGTGAGAAGCAGAAGTCTAGGGTTAAAAGCTTTCCTTGTGAGAATAAGAAGTCTTGGGTTAAAAGCTTTCCTTGTGAGAAGCAGAAGTCTTGGGTTAAAAGCTTTCCTTGTGAGAAGCAGAAGTCTAGGGTTCAAAGCTTTCCTTGTGAGAATAAGAAGTCTTGGGTCAAAACCTTTCCTTGTGAGAAGCAGAAGTCTTTGGTCAAAACCTTTCCTTGTGAGAAGCATAAGTCCTGGGTTAAAAGCTTTCCTCGTGAGAAGCAGAAGTCTTGGGTAAAGAGCTTTCCTTGTGAGAAGCAGAAGATTGGGTTAAGAGCTTTCCTTGTGAGAAGCAGAAATCTTGGGTTAAAAGCTTTCCTTATGAGAAGTCCTGGGTTAAAAGCTTTCCTTGTGAGAAGCAGAAGTCTAAGGTTAAAAGCTTTCCTTGTGAGAAGCAGAAGTCTTGGGTTAAGAGTTTTCCTTGTGAGAAGCAGAAGTCTTGGGTATAAAAGCTTTCCTTGTGAGAAGCAGAAGTCTAGGGGTTAAAACGTTTCCATGTGAGAAGCAGAAGTCTAGGGTTAAAACCTTTCCTCGTGAGAAGCAGAAGCCCTGGGTTAAAAGCTTTCCTTGTGAGAAGCAGAAGTCCTGGGTTAAAAGCTTTCCTCGTGAGAAGCAGAAGTCTTGGGTTAAGAGCTTTCCTTGTGAGAAGCAGAAGTCTTGGGTTAAAAGCTTTCCTCGTGAGAAGCAGAAGTCTTGGGTTAAGAGCTTTCCTTGTGAGAAGCAGAAGTCTAGGGTTTAAAGCTTTCCTCGTGAGAAGCAGAAGTCTTGGGTTAAGAGCTTTCCTTGTGAGAAGCAGAAGTCTTTGGTCAAAACCTTTCCTTGTGAGAAGCAGAAGTCCTGGGTTAAAAGCTTTCCTCGTGAGAAGCAGAAGTCTTGGGTTAAGAGCTTTCCTTGTGAGAAGCAGAAGATTGGGTTAAAAGCTTTCCTTGTAAGAAGCAGAAATCTTGGGTTAAAAGCTTTCCTTGTGAGAAGTCCTGGGTTAAAAGTTTTCCTTGTGAGAAGCAGAAGTCTTGGATTAAAAGCTTTCCTTGTGAGAAGCAGAAGTCTTGGGTAAAAAGCTTTCCTTGTGAGAAGCAGAAGTCTAGGGTTAAAAGCTTTCCTTGTGAAAATCAGAAGTCTTGGATTAAAAGCTTTCCTTGTAAGAAGCAGAAATATTGGGTTAAAAGCTTTCCTTATGAGAAGTCCTGGGTTTAAAGCTTTCCTTGTGAGAATCAGAAGTCTTGGGTTAAAAGCTTTCCTTGTGAGAAGCAGAAGTCTTGGGTTAAAAGCTTTCCTCGTGAGAAGCAGAAGTCTTGGGTTAAGAGCTTTCCTTGTGAGAAGCAGAAGTCTGGGGTTAAAAGCTTTCCTTGTGAGAAGCAGAAGTCTTGGGTTAAAAGCTTTCCTTGTGAGAAGCAGAAGTCTGGGGTTAAAAGCTTTCCTTGTGAGAAGCAGAAGTCTGGGGTTAAAAGCTTTCCTTGTGAAAATCAGAAGTCTTGGGTTAAAAGCTTTCCTTGTGAGAAGCAGAAGTCCTTGGTTAAAGCTTTCCTTGCAAGAAGCAGAAGTCTTTGGTTAAAAGCTTTCCTCGTGAGAAGCAGAGCAGAAGTCATGGGTTAAAAGCTTTCCTTGTGAGAAGCAGAAGTCTTGGGTTAAAAGCTTTCCTCGTGAGAAGCAGAAGTCTTGGATTAAAAGCTTTCCTTGTGAGAAGCAGAAGTCTAGGGTTAAAAGCTTTCCTTGTGAGAAGCAGAAGTCTTGGGTTAAAAGCTTTCCTCGTGAGAAGCAGAAGTCTTGGGTTAAGAGCTTTCCTTGTGAGAAGCAGAAGATTGGGTTAAAAGCTTTCCTTGTAAGAAGCAGAAATCTTGGGTTAAAAGCTTTCCTTGTGAGAAGTCCTGGGTTAAAAGTTTTCCTTGTGAGAAGCAGAAGTCTTGGATTAAAAGCTTTCCTCGTGAGAAGCAGAAGTCTTGGGTAAAAAGCTTTCCTTGTGAGAAGCAGAAGTCTAGGGTTAAAAGCTTTCCTTGTGAAAATCAGAAGTCTTGGATTAAAAGCTTTCCTTGTAAGAAGCAGAAATATTGGGTTAAAAGCTTTCCTTATGAGAAGTCCTGGGTTTAAAGCTTTCCTTGTGAGAATCAGAAGTCTTGGGTTAAAAGCTTTCCTTGTGAGAAGCAGAAGTCTTGGGTTAAAAGCTTTCCTCGTGAGAAGCAGAAGTCTTGGGTTAAGAGCTTTCCTTGTGAGAAGCAGAAGTCTGGGGTTAAAAGCTTTCCTTGTGAGAAGCAGAAGTCTTGGGTTAAAAGCTTTCCTTGTGAGAAGCAGAAGTCTGGGGTTAATAGCTTTCCTTGTGAGAAGCAGAAGTCTGGGGTTAAAAGCTTTCCTTGTGAGAAGCAGAAGTCTTGGGTTAAAAGCTTTCCTTGTGAGAAGCAGAAGTCCTTGGTTAAAGCTTTCCTTGCAAGAAGCAGAAGTCTTTGGTTAAAAGCTTTCCTCGTGAGAAGCAGAGCAGAAGTCATGGATTAAAAGCTTTCCTTGTGAGAAGCAGAAGTCTTGGGTTAAAAGCTTTCCTCGTGAGAAGCAGAAGTCTTGGATTAAAAG